TGGAGCCTGTGGTGAAAATAACCCCACAGTGCTTCAGATGAAAGTAGGACAGATTACGACAGGGAGCCATGATCAGAGCCGCGCGCTGCCCTGCAGGTAGAAACTCTCCTGAAGCTGCCAGCTCTGCCAGCTGCAGCTGTGTGCGTTTAAATAGACACTGTCAGCTAGCAGGAGATTTGGGCTGCTGGCTGCCAGTTGAGGCCTAAATGTACTTTGTCACAATAAGGATGATTTATTTAAAGACCATACAGAGCATAACGGGGGCAGCATTTCAAGCCATGATGGAAATTAGACCTTCACTCCTCATCTTTTTTTTTTTTTCCAGTGGAATGAGCTTATAGCAGAGCTGTCAATAGCAGCTTTAATGGATGCTAATTCATCCACCAGAGCTCATCATAAATGCCTAGCGCTATGCCTGTTGTGTAAGCAATGAATGGCATAATCATTACTGCAAAAGCGCAGTGCACCAAGCACTTATGTTTTATGGCTCAGGAAAGCTGTGCTATTATAGAGACGAAAACGTGCCATTCAGTTTTTATTATTTGACGATGGCTTTTGCTGGCTTAACAGCAAACTGCTGTCAAGAGAAGAGACACCTTTTTACATTAATACACCTGCCTTTGGGTTAGGATTTGATTCTGTTCTACAAAAAGAAATATTATAGTTGTCTGGAAATTAATTAGTTATCACAACTTTATGTCTTGTGGGACTTTACTATGTGACCGAGTCAAGTATTTTTTGTCTCCAGTGTCTTCTACTCATACTCATATTTAATGTGTAACTTTACTATGAACAGAATATACAAATTGTCTTGTATAATAAAGTATTTTCCCTCTTTATTAAGCGCAAATGTCAGCCGTTTTCATGGGTCATTAAAATCTTTATTCAGATTTATGATGCGGTGAGGATGCAGTGTCAACATAACAACCTTTACAGATTTGAACGTATTAGCATATATCATTAAATATATTGCATTAAGCAAGAATCTGAAAGTTGAATGAAGATATACTGTCACAATACTTATAAATAGGATGAGAAATCCACAAAATAGCTAAATATATAGTGCTGATAAGGCTGTTTGAATTCACTTAAGCGATTCAGTTCATTTTTGAGTTTCTAAAATTTTTATACATATATTTAGATTTTTCCAGATAAATTCAAAGCGCCAACTTGCTTGTCGGTTTTGTAAACTTTCACTTGAGTAAAGTTTTGGTTATCGACCATTAAGAAGACGTTGATCTTCATGCTCTTATTTTGAAGTGGTGAAGACTTCTGGCGCGGCAGTTCCGCTTCCTTTTCTCGCGTTCTCTAGTTTTTCGCCAAGAACTTTATTTCAATCAAGTAAAATGTACGGGCTCAAAATGAATCACAATCGGTAGAGAAGAACGTGTAGGCATAAATACGACATACAAAGAAGTTATAGAACACGTAACTTATAATGTCAAAACTAAATCGGTTGTTGTCTTTCGGGTGCAGTTAGCGACTTAGCATTAGCTTCTGCTAAGTACCGTGCTAATCTTAATGTTAACGTTTTAGCACTTTGGCTTGGGTCTGTCCTGCTTTAAAGTAATATTTTTAATTAATGAATTGGACTGTCTGTTCTTAAACCCTCTCTAAAGGGTAAAGGAATTAAAACTGCTGTTTTTGTTTATTTTTATTTTACAGATAATATTGAGGTTCCACAGTTCACAAGCTTTATTTTCAGAAAAATTTAATCTAGAATATTACATTCTTTATTTTACTCATCTAAAGTTAGTCCAGTGACTGATATTCCACATTTGATAATTATACTCACTTATTGATGAAGTAATTTCAGAGTTAATACTTAAATTTAAAATTTGAAGGTTGCATTTTGTAAGTATAAAGCACTAACTGTCCAAATACAGCTGCCAATGTGGTTGAGCACTGAAATCACACAGCTCGTCAATAGATGTTTTTTGTCAGAAATAAGAGCTTCTCTGTGAGCCGCCATGTTGATTCAGAGTGAATCAGAGCCTGGCACACCACACTGATAATCCCAGGAAATGCGTAAGCCTTGAAAAGCATGGAATGAGCGTTTCCTCTGATGACTGAAAGCCTCTCATCTGTTTGTTTTTTTTTTATCTAAAAACCATTAAAATTTTATCCACCCTCCATCTATGAACACTGAGATGTTGAGTCACATTGAGTCTAATATTGGAAATAAGATTAAAAAGTGCTCAGTTTCAGTAAGAGAGATATTATTTTACCGTAGTCATAATTTAGCCCCAGATAAGTTAATAGCATTTAAATAAAGTAGTTAAATCATAAAATAATGGGTGAACTTAAGCTTATTCATTTTGATCAATTGATAAATATTGTGAATTATAGTCACATCAGATTGTGATTTATAGAATATTTCACAATCAAAGTCCAAATAATACAACAAATGTATGTTTTACACGCTAAACAACATCAGTTTAATATCTGTCAGAAGTACTTTTTGCTAAAAAATATATATATAAATATAAATTATAAAAACCCAACTTCTATGCAATATAAACTGAGTTTGACTTTGGATTAAACTTTATGTACTGATGGATAGGAACCAAAAAAGTGCAGATTTTCAGGTGTTTTGCTCAGCCAGACCAGGAAATGCAAGATTATTGGAATAGCAATCTTAAGACATCTTTGAATCATGACAGAATTGTAAAAAAATGTCATTAATCTCACCAATTTCAGTGGGATTGTGATTGGCTTTGCAACCTGACTCAAGTAGGAGAATAATAAAGCAGTGAAATGACGGTTTCTGTTTGTTTACTTTTATGCTTTTCAAAACTAAATTAACTCTAATATAACTTTAAAGGACTACTCTGAAAAAGGAATGAGCGTCAGTGATACACAGTAGGATATTGGATTTGTTTGCATTGAAAGTTTTGTGAAGTTCAAGTGATTTCTCAGTTTTCTTTTAGTTTATAACTTACCTTACGATCAAGGTTTTTTTTCCAGGCCTAATTCCAGTAATAAACTCTGCATGGCACATAAAAATGAACATTTTGTTTTTCTTTAACACATAATTCTGTCCTTATCCTCTGATTGTCGTCTGGTATGCTGTCCAGCTTCGTCAGTCATGTTCTTTTGGTTTTCCTTGGTCAGATTTCCCTGCTGCCATTTTGTTATCCTTTCATCCTTCTCATCAAGCCCCTTCCTGGCATTTTCCATCCTCTACTGCCAAACTTCCCAACCGTCCTCCCTAACCGCAAAACTTTAAGTCTCTTCAATGTCTTTCAAATGGATTGCAAAAATAATATTCACTTGTTTTCACTCCTATTTTAGGTAGATGAATCTCTCTCTTTCTCTTGAGACTTCATTTATTGAGCTTACAATTGTCTCAGTTAAGTTTCAAACCGACTTTATTCTCTATTTGCTCGTGACTTTTAACATAACTGCTTCCAGAAATTCAGCAGGCAGGCATCATAAAGATCTGAAGATATCATACTTATATTATGTAAGGCACTCTGCATTTAATGTGAGCGCTAATGTTCCTCTGGGTCTAGGCAAAGGTCAGAGTCGCAGTGCTCTTTTAAAGCATGAGCAGTCTGAGAGCCTGCAGGTCAACCAAAGTTAAGTGTGATGAGATGAGAGGTCAAGCAGAAGGAGAGTTTGAGACATTGTGCAGGGAGGAAATGCTGTGGAAGTTGTCTAAAACAATTAAATGTACAAAAGAAAAATGTCTGCAGGTGAGCAGAAAGAAGAGGAGAAAAGAAAAGTGCAAAAATATTTTTATTCTTTCAACCTTTTGTTGGATAGACAAACATAAAGTAGTACATCATTTTGAACTGGAGGGAAAATGATTCAGTTTTTCTTTTTAGCAAATAAAGTCCCCAAAAATTAGGCTGAATTAATGCTTTGTAGAACCACGTTTCAATCACGCTATTACAGCTACAAGCCTTTTTGCGTATCTGCAAATTTGGCACTTTAAGAGAGCAATATCTTTGTCAATTTTTCACTTGCAAAATAATTCAAATTAAGTTAGATTGAATAGGAAACATCGGTTTTAAAGTGAATTCTCACTTCGATTTAGGTCTGGGTTATTCGAAGACGAGAATATGCTTTGAAACATCAACAGTTTGTGTCTGTTGGGTTTTCCACCAAACCAGTTCCACTTCTAAACTGTTTTCAACTCTGACCCAAGTCAGAAAACGTGCACGGCTGCGTTTTGTTAAGGTTTTCTGTGACATAACAATACAACTGTGTGCCAAATTGGGAAGTGAAAGAAAAATATAATTAATATTGCGTGTAAAGAATTAGGACACCACATTTAATATTACAATTTTTTTTTTTTGCCAACTAAAAAAATTAACATAAGTTAATCTTACTTTTCTTGTGGCCTGGTTTGTCAGTTTAGGAGGAAAAGGTAAGATCACCCAGCATCCTAACAGCTAGTCTTGTCTTCTTTAAGTTTAAATAACTTCACTGATTTTTTTTTGTTCCACTTCTCACTTTCAACTTTGAGATGTTAAACTTGTTTCTATTCACTCCACAACATCTAAACTTTAACCCGACTCTGGACTTTCCATTTCTCAGTTCTCAGAGCTTTTCATTGAATGATGGATTTGCTTCCTGGTGAAAATGTACTTCGTTCTGGTGCCCAAATAATTCAAATTTTGACGTATTTCTGAAGAACACTGTTCCAGAAATATCTGACTTTGTCTCGGTCCTTCCTGGCAAACGTCATGTTTTTCTTTGAGAGCAAAGTTTTCCTAATTGCAAACCCCTGTGAATATTAAATGTGAACTCTTTGTACAGACATGGAATTCATACCAAGAGCCTGTTGTTTGTCTTAGATGACAGTTTATGGTTTTTAGAGACGTTTTTAAGCCCCTTGCTGTGAATAGGGCTCACTTTCACTTTAGCAGTCATTCATTGCTGGCATCTTGTTCTCATACGGCTGCTAATATCACTTTGTGCAGCTCAATGTACATGGAGATTTTTTGAGGGGTTTTGAGATATAAAAGTCCAAAACGTGTCTGTGCTTCCAGGTGCGCTCTCCCAGAACCAGGTCCACCCGCTCCTGGGTTCGCTGCCCCTGCCGGGTCGACCCCTTCAGCCGCAGAGCCACGCCCAGCTGGAGCACTTCCTGTCGCTCAGGGTCAACGGCTCCTCACCCCTCAGCCTCTTCCCCAACTTCAACACTGTAAGAAAACATGATTTAAGTGATCACAAGGTTTTTTTCTATACTTTCAAGTTAAAGATCAGATGCTAATGAGGATTTAGAAATATCAAGTAGCCTCGATAAAGTCAAAAACATTTAGCTTATTTTATGTTCAAGAAGAAATCTGATTTATAATCTTCATAATTTTTCTGTTTTGTTTTTTTTAATGACCTATAGAAAAGTATAATCAAGTAAAATAAAAGTTTTTGTTTGTTTGAACTCAGATTCATGGCAGAGTTAATGTTCGAGTCTCCACTGAATTTTCTGTTAAATTTTGCATGAATTTTCTGAAGCTGCGTGTTTTTTGTAGGATGTAATTTACATTTTTTGTTTGTTTGTTTGTTCCATAAATATTTTTCATTTTTAGTTTTACATTTATTTTTCTGTTAGTTTTGGGGGGGGGGGAAATCAACAAACTTTATGGCCCCACTTTGGCTCCTATGGATTAGTTTTGCCAATGAGAAAAATAAAATGCTGAATTGTGTATAAGAACGATAATTATAGACTCTCCGTAACACAGGTTGAAATTTTACAATTTTGGGAAAAATTGTTAATGTTCTTACAGGAATCCACCATTTGTTTGGATATTCTGTGATTTATTGAAGGGGATTTAATCATTTAGTGGTATGTATTTTAGATAAAAATATAGTTTCTATTTGGGCAAAACGCTATTAGTAAATGTAATTATATAAGTTGCAATATAGTTCAGGATTTTAGGCTCTATCATTTATGTGTGCTCAGGGCATGACCTGCAGAATGCAAAATGAGATCAAGTGTCACTTATAATAAAATATCCAAAAATTGTGATATAAATGTGATAAATTGTTTAATATTAGCTACGATATATAAAAAATGTTTCCCACTACTCCAAGCATGCAGAAAAAAGCAGAGTAGCAAGATTTTACTCAAATGTTGTCCCAGTTAAATGTTTAATGTGTTTAACTTTTTTTAATATTACACTTAGATAAGTCTCTGCACTTTCCCCTTTAAACAAGTAATTAGTAAAATATTTGTCTTGAGTCTGCGTCCAGATTCATCAGTTAATGAGGAAAAGCTGAGGTTGTCTTGTTAAAGCTTGTCATCAAGCTTGTGGGAGGAAGGGAAAATATTGCTGTGTGACAGCGAAAGCTAAAAATACGGTTTGAATGGCACAGCTGCACTGGAGGGATTTAAAAAATGAAGACAGATTTCATCCAAACAGGCAATTTAAAAAGTGTGAATTCAGAGTTCTGGGTTTAAAACTGAATATACAAACTTAGTTTACATGTAAGTTTTACTTAAACGTCACATTAATAGAAAAATATGTTAAAACTAAATGTGTTGTATTATTAAAGATGCATATTGAGTCAGTCAATAATTTCCATAATTTCAAAGTTTAAAGAAGAAAAATGCTAGAAATAGGTCTTAGTCACAACTATAACAGGAGCAGGATTAATCCTAAATGCACATTTCTAATCTATTTTAAAGAAATTATTCATCTTGTTGCACAAGCAGCTCAAACTTTTGGCTTACTGAAGATGTCAAAACACACATAAGACAAATTTCTATTTTTCCTCTTATTTGATGACGAACACAGAGGGAAAGAAGGGACTTAATTATGTCATTAACTTGTCTCATTGAGGCAAAGGACTTTATCTGAAACTTCATTGCTGGAGTGTTTCTTTTAGTCATTTTTGGATACATTTTTTGTTTCTATTTTAAATTATTTCCACAGTTCAGACTCCCTGAAGATGTGAATTATGTTGATACTAGTGAAAACTGTAGATAAACCCAATGTTTTATGGGATTACTACGAAAGAGGATTAGGGCCATCAAAAAAAAAAAAATTCTGACTTTAATCTCAGAATTCTGAATTGTTTCTCATAATTCTGAGATCAAAGTTAGAATTCTTTTTTTTTTTTTTCGGTGGCCCTAATCCTCTTCCATAGATTACTTTTAATTAGTGTGGGCAAAAAATATAATATTCAACAAGTGTTTAGTATTATTACTTATTATTCACATTTTTACCAGTTATGCAAATATATGTGGAGGGAATATTTTTTTAACATGTGTAATCAGAATGGTATCATTTTGCTTAATTTTTTTTTTCCAAAGTCAAACGTTTCAACTGTTCTGCTGCGTCCAGGTGAAGCAGCACTGGTAGGTTCTGTTTGTGTGTTTCTTCTTGCAGATGGACCCGGTGCAGAAAGCGGTGATAAACCACACGTTTGGCGTGTCTCAGCCGAAGAAGAAGCCCATCATTTCATGCAACATCTGCCACCTGCGCTTCAACTCAACTGTGAGTCTGACGCTTCGGGATTAAATTAAAATGGTCTTTTAAGTTTTGTTGTAATTCTTTGGCACAATGTCACAATCATTTCTTTTTGCACACAAAAGAATGATTTTGTGCAAAAAAAAAATGTAAAGAACATGTTTTGTATCGGCTGTTTGTTGTACTAACTTGTTCAAAGAAGCAAAATGTTCAATTTTTAAGACATTTTTAACTGATATCTAGTTTGTGGAAACACTTTTCAATTCCTACTACAAATTACTTGGTAACATCGTAAACCATCGCTCTGACTGACAGAAAAAAAACCCTCTGAATGTTTGCTGTGCGCTGACATTCATCATCGCCAAAGGGCTTATATGACCTTTGCTCTGCCCCAACTCTGCTACATCACACTTTGACCCTCGATGGCGCCGTTCATGCCTGTGCAGCCATCCAGGTTTCATGAAACGTGATAACAGGAAGGCGTCTCTCCATCTGCTCCTGGCACAAAGCCATGGAAGAATCACCTCGACACATTTTGAATTGTGACTGGAGCAGAAGCTTTTTCTGTTCATTGCGCCTCACATTCGTGTCTTTAATCCTAAGAAAGGCAGAAGTGTTTCAGTAAGAATGGTTATATTCCTAACAGCATTTGTTTATATTTAAAAACATAATTGGAATTGCCAATATCAGCAAAAGTGTATGAGCTGAAGCATTTTTCTTTCCGCTAAAGTGAAAATAACAAAATTGAAACTCTAAGCTGCAACAACAGGCACAGATTAAATGATCCAAACATTATGTTCTGACACTGTTATCTGGTTACAAGTTTCATTCAAACTAACTCAATCATGCAGGAGTAGTGAACCAACATAAATCCTGTAAAATCTAAAAAATAACCTTGCCGACAGCATTACCCTCCAAAACTGAAGTCCATTGCAAACAAAATGAATCAGGTTTTCCTGATTTTAAGATACACATTTCTGAGAAGTTTAAGCTGGGAGGTGACTGAAGAAATACTGAGATTATTCAATCCGTGGGAAACATTTAGCACCCTTAAACCTTACAAACATCATAAAATAAGATTTTATGAAACATTATTAGCTCAGAGTTCACATCTGAAACATTTTTGGGATCTAAAATATTTCATAAACTTGTTTTTCTTTCCGTCAGATGAGAACATGAAGGTCATGTTGCGTCACAGCAAAGGGCAATTTCTGTCAGTACAAATCAGAGGAAAGATGAGCAAATATGTCACCAGTTGACAGCTGATGTTCATTTGTGCAACATGACTGATTATTGTCAAACCAACAGTGCAACTAAACGCATAATTCCTCCAGTAAAGTCAGTAATCTACCTCATTTATTTTCTCCCTTATGCAGCGTTGTCACTCTGCCTCCCTGTAAAGATAATGTGTGATCACCAACAAACCCTGTTGCGTTCATGTTTGTTTGTCTGTGTATGCAGATCCAGGCAGAAGCCCACTACAAAGGTCACAAGCATGCTCGCAAGCTAAAGGCCATGGAGACCCAGAAGAACCGGCAGAAGAATGGACCCGGTCAGCCCTCTGCTGAGAAAGACAGAGACGCAGAGATGGAGATGGAGGGGGAAACGGTGCCGATCGATGCTCAGCTGAAAGACAAAACAGGTGCCAGATCTTTCTTTGATTTAAAAACGGCCTCCCTTTTACTCCCCTCTTCATAATTAGCTGTAATTGAAGAAAACGGGCGCTAAGGCTCTGGAAGCTGCCACTCAGCCGATTAATTACAAGCCATTACCTGTCCTGCTATCTCTGGTTCTGTCTGATAATTACAGCCATCAAGCGAAGACGTTCTGCAGAAGAAGAGATGCAATCTTAGGAAGGACTCTGTGGTTGTAAATCATCAATTCCTCAATAGAAATCACAAACCGAAGTCCACTGTCACTGTCATAAACATCAGCCCTACGGTAAAGATGTGTAAAAAAGAAAAAACTACAGTTTAATTCATCTTTCATTGTACACTGAAAACTTATAAAAATGCAGCCAGTGAGCCTGAATTTATTTTGTGTTTTTGCTGTCAAGCAGATTCTATTGTAGATTATTAATTTGAATAAAACAGAAATAAAACATATGCTTTGGTAACGAGGCCAGCTTTGTGAAATTATGTGTTGAGTAAAGATAAACAGGTTTTAGCTGTGTCATAATGTATATGGGAAATTTTTCTGCCATAATTAGAAAACACTTTTTCAGCCTAAAAGCAGAATTTTATGTCTTTTATTCTCTAAACTTTCGATAATGGTGCTTAAGTTTCAGTCTGAAAGCAGGACTTTCAGACTGAAATTAATTTTTTTCAGATCTTTCTTCTCAAAACTTGTAATGTTTCAGACTGAAAATGTGTGGCTCTCAAATCATGGCAGAAAAATTTCTCCATACATCCAGCAGGTACAGCTCTGGAAAAAATTAAGAGACCACCTAAAATGACCAGTTTCTCTGATTTTACTCTTCATAAGTAAATGTTTGAGTAAAATGAACATTATTTCATTTTATGAACTACTGACAACATGTCTCTGACATTCCAAGCAAGAATTTAGTATTTATTCGCAGAAAATGAGAAATTACCTGAAATAATTAAAAGAAAACAGGATTATATTCACTTAGGAACAATAATACTAATGTTTTAACTCAATTAAGAGTAGCAATATTTCATAATCATCAGAAAATGTTACCTGATTAATTTCTTTCAAAAGTTAAAGCAGTAAATGTAACTGAGTGAATATAACTTGCCACTGAAGGTCTAATAAAAACATTTAAACATTCTGTCATTTTTCCCTGGAATCATCTCCAAAATCTGCCACGTTTATAAGTTTTTTTTTGTTTGTTTTTTTTTTGTTTGTTTGTTTTTTTTACAAATTTAAATTAAACATTTAAATAAAAATATTTGAATTATCTGATTACATTCCTAACATCACAGTTAACCTTTTGTAGTTTAAATTGCGCTATATGTATAAGTTTGTAGTGAATGTATAGTATTGCTGTAGAATTTGTGAGGTTTTCAATTTAAATGTTTTTTTTCCTGCACTGTAAAAAGAAATTGTGAAGTTACCAGAATTTACCATATAAATCCAGATTTTATTGGATTTATGTTAAAATTTTGGCAGCAACATGCATTTTACTGGTTTTTTTACAGTGTGCTAAATAAAGTAGAAATAAAACAATAATTTCTATATTTTAATCAGTTTTATGAGGAGAAAATGAGGTTTAAAGCTGTGAAACAAGTTGAAAATCATTTTTTTCCATGTTACCTTTTCCTTGATAATTGTTTTAATTGAAATATGAGATGAAAATCCACCTGAATTTCTGTTTTCTGATTTGTTACCTGGATCTCCACCATATTCTCACTAGTAGCTGGCGTTCTCGTAATGACTTTGTAATTTACTATTTCACTCCTTCACTCAGTCACTCAGCCTCTCGATCTGCCTGACAACAAAATATCACCTTCTTTCTCTCCGTTCCCTCTCTCGGCTTTTTTCTTTACCATTATTGATCCTCTCTCCCCCATTTTCTATGCGGTGCCTATCAATTTCCCTCCAAGCACATAATAATAAGCTTGTTACACTCAGTGGTTGCCATGGTTGTTGATTGATGGTGACGGATGAAGCCTCTGCAGAGAGAGCAGCCGGCAAATGACAGAGAGACACGGTGACAAAAGAAGAGTGATTAAGACGGCAGGAAAAAGACGGAAAGATGGGAAAATTCAAGGGATGACGGCAAATAAGGACCGAAAATCTTTCCAATAAAAAGAATGAAAAAAAGAACAAAGCTGGTGGAGAATATTAGGACATTAGGCTACATTTATCCTGGATTCTGCTTAATGTGTTTTACATGATGCATTGTTACAACTTGTTCATATTTATAAGTAAAGACAAAATAAATCAGCATATTTTTGAATGCCAAGAATCATACACAGAGCCAAAATAGTGGGAATATAATATGCTGTCGTTAAATGAAGGAAAAACTAAATTCATGGTATTTTCTGGTAACCGGATCTATAATAATGTACAGTTATGCATAAATGGAGTTCAAATTGAAAGAGTCTATGAGACAAAATTTTTAGGAATCATTATAGACAATAAACTTAGTTGGAAGCCTCACATAGAATATATTGGAAATAAAGTTGAAAAAACTATTGGAATATTGTTTAAAATAAAAGATTTAATAAATGTTAAAAGTTTGAATATTATATATTCCTCTATGGTTATGCCTTATTTGTCTTATTGTTCAGAAATCTGGGGAAATGCAAGTAAAACAACTATTGATATATTAGTTAAATTGCAAAAAAAAAGCTATAAGGCTCATTAATAAGGTGGGAACCAACCGATAAACTCTGGTCAAAGTTATATATTAAAATTTAAAGATATTGTTTACATAAAAATACTGGAAATAATGTATAGAGCATTGAATGAAAATCTTCCTTTAGGTATTCAGAAATGATTGAAGCTAAGAGAGCATAAATATAATTTGTGAGGTTTGTTTATATTTGAATGTGCAAAAGAGAAAAGCCAGATAAAGTCTAGACGTGTTTCAGTTATTGATGTGAAACTGTGGAATGAATTGAATGAGAAATTTAATTCAATGTCCTTTCTTGGTGAACTTTAAAAGAGCTTTAAAATGTAAAACGATAAAATCTTACGCTGTTATGTAGATTTATATGTGTATTGTGAAGATAAGCTGGGAGGTTAAAGGGTATAAAAAAACAGGGTAGGCAAGAAAAAGCTTTGCTTCAGCCTATTCAGCCTCAACTGGTTTGTTTATTGTTGTTTTTTTCCTTGTTGTTTCTTGTGCTTGATGTGGACAATTAAAGTGATTGATTGAAAAACAGCCAAACAAAATGCTGAACTACAAATAAAAAATCTATAGAATTAAGGTTTAAAAATAAATGAATGTAATTTATATGCCCAGAAAGTATCAGAGACGTCCGAATATGTATTTCTGTGGAGGGCATGATTGATTGGATTGTTTCTCCATGACTTTATCTAAAGAAAAAACTATTAATTTCACTATATCAGGTTTTTATGGTATTAACCACGTTTGTTCTTATTTGGGATAAATGGTGTCAAACCAAAGTTTGTACAGAACGGCCTTTAAATGCTGCTCTGAGAGACAGAGATAGTTTGGTCAAAAAAGCTAATTTAATGTTCTGACACCTAAAACAAAAAATACATTAAGACAAATTTATTCCAACTTAAATGGAAATTCATAACGACTGCCATGACGGCCAAGTTTGTCCTAACGACTGCCATGACGGCCAAGTTTGTCCTAAAAGCAGACTGGAAAGAGCAGGTCACCGGAAAAAGAAAACGCTGCAAAAACACTAAATCTTACAAGTATTTTTGGTCTAATTTACAGTGCAAATATCTTAGTACACTTGAAATAAGACAAACTAACTTAAAGGAAACTTTTCAGAGAGATATAGGAGCTTATTTTAAGTCAATATTTTGATAATTTTGATGAAAAAGTGCTGGTTCTATTGGCACATTATAACATGGAAAAAATTTTTGGTTGTAAGTGAATAACATTTCATGAATGTTAAGGAATTATTGACTTCAAACGAGCTCTGATATCTTCTTGAAAAGTTACTTGTTTTGTCTCATTTCAAGTTTACTAAAATACTTTTTGCACCAAAAATACTTGGTAAGGCTTTGCAGCACTTAGCTGCAGCAGACAATACAGTCAGTCAGTATTAATTTAGTTGGGAAAACATATTTATAAAATCTTATTTATGACATACAGGGCTTGTCATTCAGTTTTTACAGACATGCACATAAAAACAGTCATTTTTAATAAAATGGCCGTGTTGGCTGATAGAGGCAGATATTAAATCCTTGTTTTGGTATCAAATCCTGGCACAAAAACAGCCAGGAGGGTTTGAGTTCAGTCCAGAACTCCAGTACTGATCATCTCCAGAACCAGGAGTCAACACTACTAATGGTATCTGGATATATTGTGTGTTCATGTCGATGTCGAATTTTAAATAGAACTGTCTTGTAAACAAAATTTGGCTTATATCAGTTTAGAAAAGATTGTTTGGTGTTTTTTTATTCAAAATTGTGGATGATTATGTTGGTGCCTGATTTTATCTACACTAAATTACGTCAAATGTTTCGCACCACAATCAACTTGTCATTTTGAGAAAACAGAGATGATTATCAGGAAAAGTTTATATTTTAAGATAATGAGATAAAACTCACTCGTTATCTTAAAACAACAGAAAATCCAGCTGTTGATCTTTGCTAAATTACGTGTTTGGACGTTCTGTCAAGTAAAATGCTTGCATTGACCATCTGTCCACAGACCCAGTCTCCTCACCCCAACCTGAAAGCAGCCAGGGGAACTCGCAGAGCGCCTCTCCACCCTCCATGCCTTCAAGCTCGGACTCCTCCTCGCCCTCCTCTGCTCAGCAGACCCTCCACGCCTCCGACGGCTCCCAGCTCCCCGACGTTCCTCCAGATGCCCCACATGCAGACGGCAGCGACGCGGCCAGCGGTGCGGCATCAGACTCCGATCCTCAGGGAAGCGTCGCAGCAGGAGAGGAGGAGGCCGCGGAGGGGAAAGAGGCAAAGGAGGCCAAAAACAACAAAAAGCCTCTTCAGTGTCCAACCTGCAAAGTGACGGTGAACTCCAACTCCCAGCTGGAGTCCCACTGCAGCGGTATTCACTTTTACTGCAAACTCACAACCCGGGGGCCAAACCTGAGTCAAGTCCCCCCCCACCTTCTTCAGATCAGACAAGATTGGTGTTGTTTGTGCCGCTATGATTTTAAAGATTTATAGAAATGTTTCTAGAGGTCATCAAAGGTCAACCAGACGAAACGGGTGTCAATTAACTCGACTATGTTTCTGCAAATGTTTCATACCATTTTCGTCTGATGTCATAAAAGTGAGGGGGCTGGTTGACCTTTTGATCTTTAACCTTTCATTAATATCTTCAAAGCCAAAGCAGCACAAACGCAGCACAACGTTTGGCGCCATTTTTGTCTGATTTGAAGAAGGTGAGGGGGTCAAATCCGGGCCCCTAAAGCTGTTTATGTGGCCCTCTAGTCTTCAGAAAGCTGCATACAAAGAACCTTCAGGATCATAACTGTGCGCTTAAAGTTTTTATCTGAATAAAAACTTTAATACTGCCAAATTAAATCAACACTCAAAAGAGAGTGAAGCTCCAATTTAAAACGAAATGCTAGCCACAATCAAATTAAGTTTGTAAAATTTAATTTGTTGTCAAGGTAAACAAATGGAGATAAAGTAAGTTTGCTAAAGCTTATTCTATTATTTCTCTTTTGTCAAAGCACAGACTGTTCCTCATCTGTGCAGGAAGAAAAGAGGAGTACATTTCCACTCAAGATTAAGATCAGAGATTTTCTACAAAAGCAAGGAAATTGCTGAGCTCCAAAAGTCAAAAAGTTGCAAGACAAAAACTTTTTTACATTTTTTATTAATCTCAGAAGTTTTCTACCAAACAAAGAAGATTTTTGAGCTTCAAAAGTAAAAATGTTGAGACAAGAAAGTTTTACATTTATTTCTGGAATTTCTACAAAACCAAGTACATTTCTGAGTTTTAAAAGTCAAAAATTTTCAAGACAAAAACACTGAAATGTTGAGGTGAATTTAAAAATTTCTAGAAAAAAAATCTCAAAAATTTTAGAGTTTCAAAAAGTCTTTGATTTTGGAACTCAGAAAATTTACAAAAAAATCAAATGTTTTTGACATCTGAATGGCAAAAAATTCATTTTTTTTAACCTGAAACTCTGAAATTAAGCTTCAAAATTTCTGATTTTGTTTTAGTCAATTATTTTAATTTTCAAGCTCAGAATTTCCAAGTTTTTTTCTGAGATTTATCTCAACATATGAGATAAATCTCAAATGTTAGTACTGCTTTTCATCTAGTATGACTCTGATACACTGTTGTACTTTTCATTTTTTACAAGTACTCATTGAATGAAGAGGCAGTTATTTATTAAGAAAATATATTTACTAATATTTGATTAATGAGTAGTTTTATCGACGCGTTCTGCCAGAACCATTTGAGGACATTCAAGGTGTTGATTTGGCCCAAAATGAAAATGAGTGACTCCTCTGGCCTAAACAGTTCAAACCTGCACTGACCTTTTACCTCTCCTCTCTGATTGGTCGAATCAGGCTCTAAGCACAAACAGATGCTGGACGGTCAGAACAACAGCCAATCGCATCGCAGGGTCAAGGTGCCATCGACACCCAGACCAAAAGGTCGAATGAAGCAACGGATGGGGAGCAAGAGCAGAACGGTTGTTGGTGTAACCAACCAAGCATTTCACTGTGAACTCTGCCAAGTGTCTGTCAACTCAGAGACGCAGCTGAAGCAGGTAAACAGGGTCATGTTTGACATTAACCGTTTACAGCTAGAGAAAAACTAAAAGAAGGACAGTTTTGTGTTTCTTATCTTGTACTTGGTGTTTGTTGGCTGTATAGTTAGTTGGATCTGTGTTTGCTTCATGTCTCTTTTCTTTTTTAGCACACAAACAGCAGGAGACACAAAGAGCGTTTGGCTGGGAAGCCTGTCAAAGCAAAGTTCACCCCCTATAATAAACTTCACCCCAATGCTGTCTTAGCGGTGAGAGTCTCACACAAACACACACAGATATATCTCCAAACTGCAGCCCTTGTATGGTCTAAAAAAATTATCACAATGTTTTGTGGTATTTACAATAGAAACAAAAATTCTGTTCATTTAAATATGTTTCCCAGCTTCATTAGTATTAGATCCTTTGACTGGAACTTAATTTACCTCCATTTAAAAAGCCACAAATATTGAAAAAAAAGACTTGTAATTGATTAAATGTGCTTCTTCAAGGCTCTGGTTACAGTAGGCAGTGGAGTTTTATTGCCAGATAGCATAAAATATATATATAATTATTCTTATACTTTTAAAGATATTGATCCAAATAATACTGTTGGTTTTTGGAGTTTGGAAAGTTTCACTGGCAGATCACTTCATTTTCTAGAAAACAATATGGAATATTAGTTTTTCCAACATGGAAAAATGTTGTGTTATCAGTGAAATAATACCTTTTCATCAATATTAAAGAATTATTGACTTAAAACCAGCGCCTATGTGCTGAAAAGTTGCTTGTAAACTTAGTTTTATTTCTAATGTAATAGAAACTAGACAGAAAAATGATTTTGTGTTTTTGCGGTGACAAGTACAACCTGGTGGCCCGCCAGGCTTATAAAACTCTGGAGATAATCCAGTCTTCTTTATAGTCAGTATTTCTCCTGTTTTTACTTTCAGACCAAACTGGCTCTGCACAAGCAGCTGTCCAAAGCCCTGCCGGCAGGGCTCCTGAGCGGCCCGTTCAACCCAGCTGCACTGTGCAGCATGACGTCCGGGCCCCTGGCGCTACGACTGCCACCGGGGCCCACAGCCATCATCCCCGGCCCCATCATAAACCCCTCACTCTTCAGGCCTGCGCCGGGACCGCTGAGGGCCACACATGCTCCTATAATCTTCTCTCCTTATTAGCGATTAGCACAAGCTGTTTGAACTGAGAGAGGAGTGGACAACTTCACCAAATCTGGACTTGTGGAAATGATTAGCCTGGTCTCCTTTTCCCAGCACAGTTCTGCCTAGGTGACCCAAAACACTGCAGATACAAACGGAGGAGCGGGATTCTCAACTGATGGAGGAGTCAGAGATCCTGGAAGGATCAGCTGTCGTTTCCTGGCGAGTGTGTGTTTGGTTCTCTCTGCAAGCCATAATGATCACTTAGTTTCATTACTGACAACAAACTAAGACATCAAAGACTTTAAATGCTTTCATTATAGAGACTTCTAATCGCACTCTGGAGAAAACACTCACAGCTTCAGTTTTCATAAGGGAATCAAAGCTTAGCCTTCCCATGTTTCATTATTGTCTTATAAGACATTATAAGAATATAAGCGACTTAAACATTTAAAACAGAAATCTGCAGTTTTGCACTGATGAAAATTTTGTATCTTTACAAAGTTGCATCTTTTTTATGCTCATTTAATGTACATTTGTTTTATTTTAGATTTAAAATATGTTTTTTTAGTCTGTATCAGTGTCTGTGGATGTTTGTGTGAAAACGGTGACAATCAGCAGCTTATATGAATGAATGAGCATCTACCTAATGGAAAAAATACACAAGATCTAATGTACAAAATGAGATGATTTTAAATAAAGTTATAGTTATTGTTTAGTACATTTATTAACGTTTACACTTTAGGTTATCCTATTTACAGCATTTTTATATAAAACATAGCATTTATGTGTCATTATGGATTCTTGAATATGTTGCTTACATTCATGAGCAGCATAGAGAGGCATATTTCTCTTTGACACTACACAAAATGGGAAAAACAAGAGCACATAGTTTATAATCTCTCCAATTTTGCCAATATTGAACTGCCATTTGATCCTTTGGAAAAACATGTTAATGTTTTTTAAACAGGTGAAATTTAAGGTAAAATATATGTTATGTAACAGCTTGATGCTGTTTGTGCACTATGAATGATCAGATTCTGTCTGAGCTGATTAGAAACATCTAAATTAGTTATTTATTTTGTGTTTAGAGGGTAAAAAACAATCTACTTTCCTTATAAATATAAATTACCCTGTGACTACTGAAACTCACTCGGCAATATTCTTTTTCTTTACATGCCACCTGATAAGATTAACCAGAAGTGTAACTGTTTATTTATTGCAATAATGTAAATCATTATGTGACTTGGAAAATGTTAATAATGTATTCCACATCAACTCATAAATATCTCTTGTTGTTTTGTAAGCAGTTGTCTTTTTTTATCCTATTTTGTATCACTATTATCTACACTTATCATCACTACAATAAGGGCAAAAACTATGCAATTTTGAATTCTCTATCTAATTAGTATAATTTTACACCCATTCATGACAGATTTTAAGCTAAATATGTTGTGTCTGCTTTAAAAAATGTTTGATTTGTAGTTTGAATTTGTTTACTGTGGGGCTTTTTAAAATCCATGATACTAAAACTGAGTAACTTTACAAATCAGCATAATTATGAAGCATTCAGTGAACGTGGTGCTCAACATTAGTCCTGTTTTCTGTATTTAGCCACCACAGAATTGAAGGTCACTTAAGAATAATGGCACTTTACGGCAACAGCGCCCTCTTGTGGTATTTGGTTTTAAAGTGGGATACAGGTTAAACAAACGAGGTGAAAATTATTCTGCTTCCTGCATTAATCTAACTGGATTGCAAAAAATATGTATAATTTGGAAGTTGTGTATGTTATTTTAACTGAATTAGGGTTATTTCGCACAGCTGAGTCCAAAATTACATCCACTTGGGTTTTTATTCTAACTTGATTTGGAGAAATCCGATGTTCTGACTAAATTAATGACATTATCAGTTTGTTCCCGTTAATGCTTCTGCTTCTCATCTAAAAAGGCTTTAGGGGGAAAAAAATAGTTTTCTCACAGAATGTTTTAGTTAAAAGTTACAAAGAAAGAATCTACAAAAATGGAACAAGGTAAATGTGGCACAACTTTTTTTCCTCTTTTTTTATTCCAGCTTTCAGTCGTACCTCTACAGAAAACCAAAATTCTTGGTTTTAATCACTAGCAGGAGTTTTTGTTTAAAGATTTCTGTAAATTGAGAAATAAACACTAATGAGGGTAAGTATATTTAAATTGAACATTGTCTCCGTTTCTTTTCTGTGTTGATGGAGTCTCCCCTCCTGCTTGTCACACATTTTGTCTCCGTGAGCATTCACCATTCTAATAAAATGAACAACTTTTATGTATTACTACATTCTTCTTTATCACGTTTTGTCTGATGTTGCTGCCCCATCAGGCAATCTCTTCTGCCACCATCGTCTACTCTGCAAGGTCTAGATTATTCTGCAAAGAGGGATTCTTTAAAAAAAATATAAAATAAACTACATACAACCTATAGATTATTGTACAACAGCAGTTTGTCTTCGATCAGAGGTTTGGTCATAACCGCTGTAATACTGACTGCTACTGCTACCCACAGCTTTCAGCATCTACAATAACTCTTTGAAGAATAATATGAGGTACAACATTTACTTTCCCTTTGGGATCAATAAAGTACTTTTTAAATTAACTGATGGCAGGAGAGATTACGCTCTCCACAACAGACTTAAAGAACTGGAGTTGTGCAAATTATAAACATTTTCTCTGGTACCTATGAGGATTTTTTTTTGATAATATGCTTTAAAATTTTAAAACAATACATTAAAAGTACAACTGCAAAATTGTTGAGTGCTCCAAAAAAATAAACTGACACTAAATGTTCTTATAACTGCTGATTATTATACTTTTACTGAAAGACATAGCATATTTCACGTTTAAATGACATTTACAAAGTAGCAAACTAACCTAGATTTTCAAACACGTGTCCATTCGACCTGCTACGGCCAGTTATATAAGACCAGCTGAACCAGTGGCCTAGTTTTCATTGACCCATAAAAGAAAACCAAAAGCGGAAGTGACGTCACCTCGCCGCAGTCCTCTCTTGCTTCGCATTTTCCAGAAAAGATGGCAGCTGTTGATATCGACATGCCGGTAGAAACAGAGCCCGTGATCCGCGCCCAGGGTGACCTGGAACGGTGAGTGTGTGATTTCCAGTTGTCATTCGTCGTGTTTAGACCACAGTGGGCGGATAAGCGGAGGAAGTTAAACCTTGACGGGGACGGAAAGCTGAGGAACACCGCTGCGGTCGCTGTCGATGCGAGCTATCCGCGCTAGCTCATGCGCTAGCTGCCTATAGCTTTGTTTCGCATCGGTTCTATATTTTATCGGAGGCGATTGAATTAGCTGTTTCTTTTAGACGTCTCTGGTACAAAAGTGTTTAATTTCCTGTTAAACCCGTTTTTTTTAAAACCCAATAAAATTCCACATAATCAGATTCTCATTGGGTGGACAAACGGATTTACTACGAAATGAAAAATTTTGTGCTATTTCTGTGGCAACCACGAGCTAAAACCGGCATAAAGACTAATTTATTAAAATATTCTTTATCGTAAAGAGACCCGTAACGACATTGATGTTCTGTTACCCTGTTTCTTTCTTGTTTTATCTTTTATGACTGTTTTTATACACTTTAACGCTTTTTGTAAGACTTTTATAACATTTACTGTTTGAAAACAAACCCAAAGAGATGATTTTCCTTCTGCAGTTCAGTGATTTGATGTTTGATTTGACAACATTGAGTTATGCAGGCAACACCTCAAAGAGCAACATTATCAGAGGAAATCAGCACACTGATCTGATTTTAAAAAACAAGCAAGCTGCCATGATCAAAGTCAGTCTGGGACACTAACTTTTAGCAACATTTCAAAAATTAAAATAACTTTTTTACTTTTATTGTCATTGATTTAAAAACAAAAAGAGCCACCAACATAGTTCTAAGCTAACTTATTTCATTAACATTTCAAAATATCATTTACCTATAAACTAAATCTGATCAGAAAAATAATTCATGCTTAATTGCAATTCTGCTAATTTATTGATTTAGCCTTTTTCAAACTAATCCATCCTGCTAAACGTCTGCTGAAATTGTTGCCACACACCAGAATTTTAGATGAATAATCTGTCGGCTTTTAAAGTCATGGAAATTTTAAACTTTTCTAACTTCCTGTAGCTGCTAGCTTTGCTGCAGTGCTTGTCCAGTTTTTATATAACGGGAAAAGAAGTTGAATAACTACAATTACTTTTAGCGCGTGAACAAAATTTTATATCAGTGGAAGTAAAAACAGATTTGCTGTCGTAGTCAGAAGCTAACTAGTTGGGTATTGTAAAACAAATCAAGATACTTAGTTATTTTATTAGCGTAGAACGCAGGGGGGAAAGAAAACGACAAAAAAGGATGTGAGCAAATTTAGCACCTACTGTTTATAAACTATATATTAGTTGAAAATACTGCCTGCTTCATTGTTAATAATAAAGCCACATTCAGCAGGAAATATACTGAGAACAGAAGAATGGTTGCTACAATAGTTAGGTCTGTCACAGTAATCAATAAATCAATTAATTGCATGATAAATCAAAACAAACTCAATAATTTCCATTGGCATGTTTTATCATTTATCTCTTTTTTTCTCTTTCTCAACAACTGAATGATAAAAGTTGTCAGTTTGGCGCTTTGCTCTCAACTTATCATCCTGCAAAATTAGTTATTGTGACAGGCCTAGTGATAATAATTTCCCCAAATTGTTGCCAAATGATACAATACAATCTCATAGCTCTAAAAGCAATAATTTATGCAAGATTTTCTTTAATTAGCTTGTAGCTGTGCTTTTAGAAAGGGCACCAAAAATGGATTTCTATGTTACTCCCAACAACTTTTTTTTGGCATCTTAGCTTTAAAACAAAAGAGTTGTAATGCCCACTGACAGCAGGGCTCATGTAAGCTGACAGAGCTTAATGGTGGATGATGACCTATTTCATGATCAGGCTCTCCAAGAAGATTTTACAAAACGAGGATAAGCAGCTTTAATGAAAACCTAATTTTTTACCAGATACTTAAAATGACTTCCAAACATTGCCAACCTTAATCTTGATGAGACCTGCTTACATACAGTCAGGTAAGAATATTGCTTACTGGTTCTTTCTTCTGGGTGAATTGTGACAACAAGAGAGGTCAATTTTGACACGAAAAGCAAGAAAGCAGCTGATTCGTGTTTGAGTTTCATTCCAACACCTGGTCCTTCGACCAGAGCCGCAGTAGGTGTGTTTCAAAGCTATGTTTAGTCCAGGACTGTGTGTACTGTCCTCTCCTCTGATGTCCTAGTTTCAGGTATAAAGACGAGCAGAATCCTTTAAAATACTTAAACTCTCCCACATTTGTAGGATAAATTCAAATAATCTAAGACAGGGGTGTTGAACATATCAAAAATCTGAATGTTCTTAAAGGACCGATGTGTCAGAATGTATTTATAAAATCAATTAAAGTGTTAAAATATTAATAAATAGCTGGTCCACCAGGATTTTGTGACTGTTTTTGTCATCAAAATATTTTGGGATGCCAAACAGTGCTTCCCTCAGTGTATTATAAGCCTGGTGGGCAACAAGCTTTACTGGTGAACCCACCAGACTAGGTCTATTGGGTTTTTTGTTGTTTTTTTTTGTGTGTTTTGTTTTGTTTTTTTAAGTGTTTGCATTTTGTAAGACTTACAAAATAAGATATAAGATA